AAAAATTCCAAGAAAAATTATGACATCGATGAAAAAAAATGCAACGTGCTTCCCAAACCCCTTCGACACTTTTAGCTTGGTTTTTAAGAAAGAATGTCGTCAACAGCTCTGCCAGCGGGCAACTGGCACTCAAAAGTGACATCTTTCTGACCAATACCGAAAGCTGTCCTGTAGCCAAAAAGGAAGAAAAATTGGAAGACTTCTGACGAGAAATGCAAGAATAAAACGAGGTTTTGAACCATCGATTTCGACAAAAAGGGCGTAGAGAAAACCGACAATCATATAAAGAACTCAGCATCACAAAAAAAAAGGATAGATGGCCTGCAGATACAAAATTCAAATGACAGGTGCATATTTAGCAGGACGATGTGTCGAGATAAGCTGATGATGTTTTAGATATATGATGTTGGAAATAACAGCAACGTATAGCAAACAGCCAGTGCGAATTATGCTTTCCACAAAAAAGAGCCAATAAACCGGACTGAAATGACTAAATCCTGTACAAAGTCCATACTTAAGTCAGCTTCACAACATGAATAACCGAATATATCATAAATTTACAAGACTGTGTGGATAATCGATGTGAACACCATATATTGGAGAGATGTCACTAAGATGCTCCCATGTGGGTCGTAACTGCACCAGATCCTTTGATTATCAGTTTATGCTTTCAGTCAGCACGCACCTCATGACCGACGTATTTACACATCACCTTTTTGGACACTGTGCCAGTGGCCATTTACTTAGCATACCATTCACTGATAAGCAACATATTCCGGGTGTACAGTGGACAATATAAAATAATTGGCCAATGCACGGGCTGCCCATGCAAAGATGCGTTTTTTGCATAGTTCCCTGCAGTTTTTGTCGCTACCGGCATCGGTTTTTTCGGCAAATGCTTCTAACAGAACAAATTAAGAATGGCTGCCAGAACTGGCAGGAAACAGCCCCTTAAAATTTCAGCTTTCTAACTTTCCTGGCTCCAGGATTATCACCTACTTGGACGGGGAATATTCCCCTAAGATTTCAGCGTTCTAGCTTCTCAGATCCCCGAGTTATGAACTTACTCAAAAAAAATTTTGGCGGGCCGCGGGTACCACGTTTACCCGGAGGATGGGTTTGAGTGCATTAACACCTACTACGGCGGGGAACATCGTCCTAAGATTTCAGCTTTCTAGCTTCTCAGATCTCCGAGTTATGAACTTACCCTAAAAAAGCTTTGGCGGGCCCGTATGCGGGTACCACGCAGGTGATGGCGTCAATTTTGGGGATTAGGACTGGCACGTGCATGTAGATCAAGTTTCTGAAATTTCAGCCCTGCAGCTTTTATAGGTCTTATGATGAAAGTGAGTGACAGACGCACATAAAGACACACGGACATACAGACAATCCCTCGTCAATATGCGTTTTTGCATTGCATAGCTGCAAAAAACGCATAAAAATGAACGCCAAACTGTTAAACAAAGCTGTTATTAATATTACTAAGGAAAGAGCATAAAATTATTTGGGACTAATCATAACTGACTGGAAAACTGAAACATTTTGTTGCTATGGGTACGTGGTCCTAAGAAGGGAACTGGGGATGACGTATCCAAAAAGAAACTTCTCTCTCCCATTCTCAGTCAGAAGATAACAAGCATGTCCACATACTGCGGGCGTACATGGGCAACTTGAAATGCAATTCAAAATACCACAAAGCAGATAAAAATGATTTTTATCGAAACAACAAAAACAGTGCAAATGAAGTTAAGGGGACATCAGGAAAAGCACCTAAACCTGTCCAACGCAAAGCTTTTGTTACTGGCAATATTAAATTTTGACACTAGCACAATGTGTACGAAAAAACAAAGAAAATGTGATTTTTGGAAATCCTGGTAATGTACAAAAGTGGGAACATTCTGTGACAATCAGAGACTCAAAAGAAGCTCGAAAGATTGCAGCAGCCAACAGCAACCATTCACTAGCGAGGTTTTTGATGACTCCTGCTTCGTGATGATTATTTAAAAGCAGGTTAATACTGGTTTCGACTCCCGGTATCAAGTCAATATCAAATAAATAGCAGCGCGCACCAGAATAGCCAGTGCGATCATGCGTTTCGTGCAATTCGGTCCATCGAACGATTGTCTTCAATAATTTTTACTGCTTTTTACTTTGGTCTGTGTAAAAATAGTTAAAACGCTGAAAATACATAAAAATTTCATGGACTATTACTTCAAAGCTGAATACGAAACCTCGAAAAGTGAATATCTTCCCAAAGTTCCAATCTCCTAATTTTCTGGCTTTCGAATCATCTTTGAGACAAAACTTTAACGTCAGACCTCGACATACTTAGGAACTGAATTCGAGTTTGTGTAGCCCCTGCTTAGACAGGAAACATTCTCCTGAAATTTCCTGCCTCCTATTTCTTCTGGCTTCTGAGATAATGATTTTTCACGCCAAAACTTTCATAGGGACGTTGAAAATTTGCTGAGTTGAATGTGGACAGAGGATGCCATGCTACAATTTCAGTTTCCGGGACTGCGTGGTTCCCGAGACAAAAATTTATTCGTAAAAATTTTCACGGGGTCGCAGGTGATACTCCAAAGTGCAAAAACGCTGAATTTGAATCTATACGATCGTGTGTGGGCAGGAGGTCATTACCTTAAAATTTCAGCTTCGTAGATTCCGTGGGTTCCGAGATAATAATTTACCCGCCAAAATTTCCACAGAGCCGTAGGTGATATGCGAGAGCTAGAGAACGCTGAATTTGTTAAGTCGCGTGTGGGCAGGGGTTATTACCCTAAAATTTCAGCTTCTGAGAATCTGTGATTCCCGTGATAACAATTTTACCCGACCAAACTTTGCGGAGCCGTACGTGTTGTCAGCGGGTATTGGGGGGCTGGATTTAAATTTGCGTGGTCAGACGTGGGTGGGGGAAGTTACCCTAAATTTTCAGCTTCCTGGCTTCCGTGGTTCCTGAATTGAAAGTTGCGGACAAGTTGCTGCGAACACACACACACACAAACACACACAGACAATACCGTGACAATATGAGTTTTGTACTGCTATTACTCAGCACAAAACGCATAATTAACAGTAAAATGAATGAATGAACGGTAGAGGGACGGCTTCCCGAATGGTAGAGCCAAATTCTCGACTTTCAGCGCAAGAACATAACCACCTGCCACTGCATCAGCTCTAAGAACGATATTAGAGGTTTGCCGAAGAGAAAAAATTAATTCTAGAAATGCACAGAAGCACAGGGTAATTCCAAATTATGCATTTTTTTTAATGCGTTTTTTACAGCTATGCAATGTAGCAAACGCATATTGACGAGGGGTTGTCTGTGTGTGTCTGTGTGTCCGTGTGTGCGTCTGTCATGGTTTTTCATCTCAAGACTTACAAAAGCTACAGCGTTGAAACTTTGGGATCTTAATCTACATGGACGTACGGGCCCCAAACCCAAAATGGGTGCTCTTACTCGCGTGGTACCCACGTACGGGCCACTGAAAGTTCTTTGCGGGTAAGTTGCTAAGTCGAGAAACTGAAAAGCCAGGAAGTTGAAATTTTAAGGAGATGTTCCTCGTCCACGTAAGTCTCAGTGAGCTCAAACCAAGCCGTCGGATATGTGTGGTACCCACGTACGGGCCCGACAAAGTTTGTTTCGGGTAAGTCTCTAACTCGAGAATTTGAAGAGCTAGAAGACAGTAATTTTAAGGGGATGTTCACCGTCCAAGTAAGTCTCAAAGAGTTCAAACCTGGCCCTCGGGAATGTGCAGTACCCACGTACGGGCTATCAAAATTTTTTTCGGGTAAGTTGATAGCTCGGAACCTGAGAAGGCAGAAGACTGGAATTTTAAGAGAATGTTCCTCATTCACGCAGGTATTAGTGAGCTCAAGCCTAGTTCCCTGGTACGAGTCATTCTCACGTATGGGCCTGTGAAAGTTTTTTTTCGTATAAATTGCTAACTCGGGAACCTGAGAAGCAAGAAGACTGGAATGTTGAAGGGATGTTTCCCAACAGTTCTGGCGGCCAGTTCTTTTAGCCAGAAACAACTATAAGAAAAAACAGTGGCGTTAGCAACAATAAACAGCAACGCGCACCAACTAGCCGGTGCGATCATGCGTTCTGTGCAATTCAGCCCATCGAAGATTGCCTATTAATGATTTTCACTGCTTTCTACTTTAGTCTAAGCAAAAATAGTTCAAACATTGGAAAAGACTTAAAAATTAAACGCACCAGCGCATGAAAGCTGAATTCGAAACCTTGAAGTGTGAATATCTTTCCCTGATTCCGGAGTTAATAGTTTGCCCAGTAAAATTTTCACGAGCCGTAAGTAATATTAAAGAGAGCGGGAACTCTGAATTTGAATAGGCAAGGTTGAGCGTGGGCAGGGGGTCATTACCCTAAAATTTCAGTCCCTAGTTCCCGAGATAATAATTTACCCGTAAAAACTTTCACTAGCCCGGTGATACCCGAGAGCACGGGAACGCTGAGTTTGAATGGGCAAGGTTGAGCGTGGGCAGGGGATCATTACCCCAAAATTTCAGCCTCCTAGACTCCGTAGTTCCCGAGATATTAGTTTACCCATAAAAAACTTTCACGGGGCCGTACGCGTTACCCGCGGGTACGGGGAGGCTGAATTTAAATTTGCCGCGTCACCCGCTGGCGAGGAACACTATACCAAA